TTAGGATTTGTCACTCCGATTGTCGGAGAGGTATCTCTGGGCCCTCTCGGTAATGCACATCACATAAGCCTTGCAAGCACTGCAACTAATATGTTAGTTGTGAGATGATGTATTACGGAACGAGTAAAGAGACTTGCCAGTAACGAGATTGAACTAGGTATTGGATACCGACGATCGAATCTCGGGCAAGTGACATACCGATGACAAAGGGAACAGCGTATGTTGTTATGCGGTCTGACCGATAAAGATCTTCGTAGAATATGTAGGAGCCAATATGGGCATCCAGGTCCCGCTATTGGTTATTGACCGGAGACGTGTCTCGGTCATGTCTACATTGTTCTCGAACCCGTAGGGTCCGCACGCTTAAGGTTACGATGACAGTTATATTATGAGTTTACATGTTTTGATGAACCGAAGGAGTTCGGAGTCCCGGATGAGATCGGGGACATGACGAGGAGTCTCGAAATGGTCGAGACATAAAGATTCATATATTGGATGATATGGTTAGGCCAAGGGGTCAAGCCCATGAGGCTTTAGATCGGTGCAAAAAGGAGTTTTGCGGAGGCCAGGGGGCCAAACGCCGGAGACCCTGGCGTCTGGCCCTGGGCCAGACGCCGAGGCCCATGGCGTCTGGGCCAGACACCAAGGATTGTGGCGTTTGGTCCTGGAGTCCGAGTGGGACTCTTGCCTTTCGGGCAAAACCGACTTTGAGGAGGCTTTTGCTCCAAGTTTCGACCCCGGGGCTCAACATATAAATAGAGGGGCAGGGCTAGCACCAAAGACACAACAAGTTGATCCACGTGATCTATTCCTTAGCCGTGTGCGGTGCCCCCTGCCACCATATACCTCGATAATACTGTAGCGGAGTTTAGGCGAAGCCCTGCTGCTGTAGTTCATCAAGATCGTCACCACACCGTCGTGCTGACGGAACTCTTCCCCGACACTTTGCTGGATCGGAGTCCGGGGATCGTCATCGAGCTGAACGTGTGCTCGAACTCGGAGGTGCCGTAGTTTCGGTGCTTGATCGGTTGGATCGTGAAGACGTACGACTACTTCCTCTACGTCGTGTCATCGCTTCCGCAGTCGGTCTGCGTTGGGTACGTAGACAACACTCTCCCCTCGTTGCTATGCATCACATGATCTTGCGTGTGCGTAGGAAATTTTTTGAAATTACTACGAAACCCAACACCCGAAACTTTCCCGATGGCCGAAAAACCACTTCCTATATATTATTCTTTACCTCCGGACCATTCCGAAACTCCTCGTGATGTCCGGGATCTCATCCGGGACTCCGAACAACATTCGGTATGCTGCATACTCATATTCATACAACCCTAGCGTCACCGAACCTTAAGTGTTTAGACCCTATGGGTTCGGGAGACACGCAGACATGACCGAGACGACTCTCGGGCAATAACCAACAGCGGGGTCTGGATACACATGTTGGCTCCCACATGCTCCTCGATTATTTCATCGGTTGAACCACGATGTCGAGGATTCGATCAAACCCTGTATACAATTCCCTTTGTCAATCGGTACGTTACTTGCCCGAGACTCGATCGTCAGTATCCCAATACCTTGTTCAGTCTCGTTACCGGCAAGTCACTTTACTTGTACCGTAATGCATGATCCCGTGGCCAACACCTTGGTCACCTTGAGCTCATTATGATGATGCATTACCGAGTGGGCCCAGAGATACCTCTCCGTCATACAGAGTGACAAATCCCAGTCTCGATCCGTGTCAACCCAACAGACACTTTCGGAGATACCTGTAGTGCACCTTTATAATCACCCAGTTACGTTGTGACGTTTGGTACACCCCGCACTCTTACGGTATCCGGGAGTTACACGATCTCATGGTCTAAGGAAGAGATACTTGACATTAGCAAAGCTCTAGCAAACGAACTACACGATCTTTGTGCTATGCTTAGGATTGGGTCTTGTCCATCACATCATTCTCCTAATGATGTGATCCCGTTATCAACGACATCCAATGTCCATAGCCAGGAAACCATGACTATCTGTTGATCACAACGAGCTAGTCAACTAGAGGCTCACTAGGGACATATTATGGTCTATGTATTCACACGTGTATTACGATTTCCGGATAATACAGTTATAGCATGAATAAAAGACAATTATCATGAACAATGAAATATAATAATACTTTTATTATTGCCTCTAGGGCATATTTCCAACATGTTGATATATTGATAGCGGAAAGTTCAAAAGTAGCTTGGAGTCCCGGATGGGATCCGAGACATCCCGTGGAGCTCCGAAATTTTCCGGAGGTAAAGATTTATATATGGGAAGTCATATTCAGGGTTCCGGAGAAGTTCGAATTTTTTTGGTAGAGTAGCGGGAAAGTTCTAGAAGGTTCCAGGGGTTCCACCGTGGGGCCCAATGACCCAGGAAGGTCCCACATGGACCAAAGGGTAGGGCTACAAGCCACACGGGCTGGCCGCACCATTCCCGAAGGCACATGCCATTTAAATCTAGAGAAAAGGTCTTATCTCTAAATTTAAAGGGTTGAATCTAGAGATAAGATGTTATCTACAAGTTTAAAGGGATTTCTCCCTTGTGGCGTACCCTAGGAGGGTTTTGGACCCCCGCCCAGCCCCTAGCCTATATAAAGAAGGGGGGTGCATGGGGGCAGCCACCCCCTTGACCCTTGCCCATTGCCTCTCCCATCTCCTCCCACGTTTCTTCGGTACGCTCTTAGTGAAGCCCTGCCGGAATTCCGTTGCCTCCACCACCACCTCGCCGTTGAGCTGGCCCCGATCTCATCTACCTCCTCTCCTTCACTTGATGGATCGAGGAGGAGAGGACGCCATCGAGCTGAACGTGTGCTAAACTCGGAGGTGCCGTCCATTCAACACTAGATTGGATTGGATCGCGAAGAGCACGACTACATCAACAACGTTATATATGCTAACAATTTTGGTCTAACAAGAGTACGTAGACTCGCTCCCCTCTCGTTGCTATGCATCTCATAGATTACATCTTGGGTGGTTCTTAGGAAATTTTTGATTTTCATGCAATATTCCCCATCAGGCCATGTGTATGGTGGTGGCGGTGGTGATTTCGTTGGCAAGGACATTGTGTTGAGTTCGTGCATGCCATTGGTTGGCCTAGATCCACAACATAACACATGCTATATGTGTGGTGATTTTGGTTCGCCCCTGACCGGTGGTGATTTCTTTGGCAAGTACATTGTGTTGAATCTTGCTATGTATACTTACAAATAGCTTGAATTTGGTTCCATAGGATTATTTGTTTTTCAGTTTAGATATCTTTTGTGGGGTAAATTTTCAGTTTACATATCATTTGCAGAGAAAAGATGTCATTTGCTCACCTATTTTCACAATGGGATCATGCAGAACGTTCTTTGCATATTTATTTCATGTTTATGGGTTAGCTTGTGCATAATCGCAATAAATAGTGACAGGAATGACCCTTTGCAATAGGCGCACGCCACTTGGCAAAGCCCGCTGACGGCCTACTGCGACAAGGGTCTGGTCGGCTTGGCGTCGAGGTTGCTCGGTGGAGGCGGCGTGGAGGTTGGTCACCACGGGCGTGCGATGGCGCTGGAGGTTGGTCTTCACTTTTCATAACTCCATTTCCGGGATTTACTTGCAGTCCCCGCTTTCCCCTCGGTCATGACCTGGGCCCCGCCTCCCCTCGGTGCATGATGCTCCAAAGGTTGGTCAGGCGTGGCCATTGTTTTGGTCGTTCCGGCCGTATTTGTTCTCCCTACAATCTTTGGCTTCTACCCTACGCCGCTGGGTTGATCTCTCTGCTTTGGATTTTCTCCGCCTTTCTTTCGCTGGCATGGTGGAAGCGGACTTGGTGGTGCATGTTTGGGTGGGATGTGCAATATCCCTGTTGTCATCTTCTGCCTACACAATGTTATCATGCTCATCGCGATGTAGCCTGTGCTCGAGCAAGTAGGGATCAGCGGGCTAGGATTGCTCTCATGTTGTCGTGGTCGTAGTAGTGGCGGAAAAGATGGCGGCTAAATCATGCTTTGCAGATTTTGCGCTTAGGGCAAAACTGGGCCGTGTCCTGCCCAGCCCATATGCAGAACAGTGAGAAGTGAGGTCAAAACAAAAAAAAAAGAACAGTGAGAAGTGGGGGTAAAACTAGGAATGGATGACAAAATCTGTGTATATCCTTTAGGCCTTGTTCGGTTGACAGGGATTTAGGAGGGGTTTGGCAGGGTTTGAGGTGGATATAATCTCTTACAAGTCAAAATCCACCCAAATCCCCTCCAATCCTCTTCACAAGAGGTGTAACCGAACAAGGCCTCAGTCTGGCCCGCCCAGTAGATTATTTGTAGCTCGATGGTGTTGGGTGGTGTTATCTATTTCTTTCTATCTAACGGATACAACTCTCCTATTTGGTTCAAGAGATGAATTACTAGGTCCTGATCAGTACACCTACGAGCTACGATATTCACCTTTCTCGGTTAAATTGCAGATTTCTGAATCGACAACAAAGCAAGCCTAATCAACAGTATTGCATACGCTCACGTGTAGGAATCTTGGGCAAAATAGAACAGTCAATAATTATTAGCACGGAAGATCAATGCTTCAGGAATTCATGGCAACATGTGCTCTAGATGAAACACAATCTCAGCGAGGTGTTACCAACATGAAGACTCCTGTGGTGTTAAAAACACACACTAGATTCCAGTACGTGGAATCAATCTACAAGACGTTCATCAGAAAAAAAAAGGAAGAATCAAGAGACAAAATAGGATTCAGCAACTCATATACCAGTTTTATTGGTCATACCAATGCCAACATATTCTGTATGGAGCATTTCGAACAATCATCGAGGATCTTACAGATGCTTATGAGACGCCAAGATACAAGACTGGATAAGCTGGGATGCTTCACAGTTTGCATTAAGGGTCACCTCGTTGACCAGTGATCACAGACATTTTACCTGACAGAATACGCTAGAAATAGCACATGAGCAGCCAGGACACAAATGGCCTAGTAACGGTACTTGGTGGAGTAATCCTTTGGAGCAATCACCAGACCACGGCCCTTCCGAGCTCCCCTGTACACAGTCTCCACAATGTCGACGAACTCTTGCTTGTCTTTCATGGCCCAGTTGATCTTGTTGTTGTTTCCTGTCCCAAGATCAATCATGATGTGCTTGTTCCGGAAGAAGAACATCACCGTCGATGGGTCATACAACTCGTACATGGTGTTGAAATCAGGAACCTCGGTGATGTCAACAAGGTAGATCACTGCAAAGTTCTTTATGGTCTCAGCCACACCTGATAGCACCTCATCCATCTGGACATGAACAAGCAGGGAGTCAGAATAAACTCAACAAGGTGGATTACCAGAAACTGCAATCAATACAGACAACGGTTATTTTCTTTTTTGCATGAAAACATCAAAACAAGTTGCTCATGGATCTCCACAGCTCAACTTTCTCAGGGTTGTGCGGTCAGGTATGGAACAGGTCATAGTGATTTTGTTTTCAGTTTTATCAAGAAAACTTGTGCACTGCTTCAAATCTGTGACGGGAAAAAAATATAGAATGCACGGTGCTATGTAGCTCTCTGCATCAACTGGAGGCGTGAATTCAAGAAAAAGAAAACAGAAGCGTCCTAGATTCCACCCATTTCTGCTCTTACTCGAAACTAACCAACTATCCTCTCGAGGCTTTGACGATGAAAATGCTGACGGCACTTTCACTAGGATGGACAGTTGCAGAGTGCCTAGGGAGCCACAGTTCTTAATAAGCATCAGCGAGAGACTCTTCGGTGATTCTGATCCCCTCACCAAAGGGATTGAAGGAGATTTTGACTTGCAAGGGATTTAATCCCTTTCAAACCTCTCCAAACCCTCCCTAACCGAACAAGGCCTAAACCTTGCCAAGTCTATCAGTGTCACTAAACCCAATAATTGTTCAAATTTCACGAAATCCATGACCCCTGCAGGGCTACGATCAAATCCAACATCGACTCGAAACAATTCACCCAGCGTAAGTCCAGACACAATCGATTACTGAAATGAGTTTGCCAGGGGATCGATCGCCCATACCTGCATGCAGGTCTCGTCCCAATCGTGGCCGAAGCGGATGATGACAAGCCGCTCCTCCTCGGCGAGGATGGCTTGGTCCACCGCCCATCCCGAGTGCAGATGTGGCAGCAGGTAGGACATGTCCGCCTCGCGCTCGTCGCCGACGGCCCCCGCTGATCCGCGAGAAGATTTGGGGATTTCGAACCTCAGAACGGGTAGCGAGCAGACAGCAGAGGGGGAATGTGTGCGTGGAACGCAACACGGTGAGATTCGATCGAACTTTCTGGGAGACAGAAAGAGGAGGAGAGTTTCGACCGAACTGCCTAGAACACCATGGAAACTTCCGGAAACTGCGATTTGGGTACGCCGCGCCATGGCCCAATTTAGGACTAGACCGCGCGAAATAATAAGCTTTTGATATGTCGGCCCACTTAAGCTGAGCAGCTTTTTTATGTTAATATATTGTAGGAGTAATTGGTATATACAAGTTTTTTTTGGAAAAAAGCCAAAGGTCATAAATTAATTAGCACAAACGCTTAAAAACATCCCAATCCTTATGGAAATTTAGAAATGCATCCAAATCTTTGGGGGTGCCAAAGTCTTCTTCTCCCTGCATCCAGGATAGCGCGCTGTGAGCAAAACTTGTCCCCTCCGCTGGACCTCCGTCTCAACCGAATAAAAATGTTTAAACGTAGGAGCTTCTAAAAGCAACGGGCGGAAAGTCATCGATGTAGATCAAAAGATGCCTCCAACCATGAATTGCATAGCAAATCGCCACCCTGAAGAAGAAAACGATATAGAAGGCTTGTAGAATACCCTAGTTCTGGCCAACGGAGTAATAAGAGAACACAAACCTCAACACGCTCTGCGATGAGGCCAGACTGGCCAACCTTCGTGGTTCGGAGCTAAAGCCGGAAGACCAAGACGTATAACCACATTGTTCACTCTTCAAGACAATTTAATCGAAACAAATCTACTGAAAAAAATCCAAACTGCAGAACTAGAAATGAAGACACACTATCTTCCACACCCTCCTGATGATACGAGTAAGCATCATCGAAATAAGGGTGAGACATGGAGACCATATTGCCCGACCCAGAGAGGGGAAAATGACGAGCCTCATCGGTAGATTGGTGCTGCCCGCATACCCACACCAACGGACCGGCAGAGTAGATGATGGCTAAGGAGAAACCCTAGCTTTAATTGTTACATACATGTGGATACATGGTTACTAAGCTTAAACTTAAAAAAAAAACTAAGTAATAGTAGCATACTAGTGCAAAGGACGTGCTTTCCTGTGGGTATGATTAAAGGTTTTTAGCAGATATTCAAATCGGTGCCCAGGCTCATTTGCATCGATGAATAGTAAATTCAAAAAAATACTATATTCTTTAAAATTCTGAAAATATTTTAGGTGGAAGATGTCCAATGCATGATGTTCATGCCAAATTTCAGCTTGTTTGGATATCTGAGGAGCTCATGGAAAAAAGACAAAATCGGTAAAAATAGCAAGTGAGCAGTGAACTTTCTTACAGCCCCAAAATTTGTCTTTTTGGCTGAGAACTACTGAAATGTTCATACTCACAAAATTTGGCACATACTTCACACACATGAGCATCCAGCATCAGAAAAAAAGGATTTTTTTTACTAATTTAAACAAATTTACTGTTCACCTGGGGTGCAAATGCACCCAAGAACCAAAACGCCGCGTCCGTTTTTATAAATTACTTTTAAAATATGTATGTACAAGTTCACATTTTTTAAGTATGAACTTGCAAAGTTCAAGTGCAAACTGAAATGTCAAATTTTTGCATATTACTCCCTCTGTCCCATAATATAAGAATGTTTTTGACACTAGTGTAGTTTCAAAAACGTTCTTATATTATGGGACGGAGGGAGTAGTTTTCTTACCCCACAATTAAGGCAATTTTAATGGCCACAGCTTTTGCGGAGTTATAACCTGAATTTTCTGACGTATTAATCTAACAATTATTATACTTATTTACATTTTTTTCTAATACTATCTTGTAAAGTTTTATCAAATTTATTCAGAAAATTACGAACACCCACAATACGAAATCAATACCATTACAATCAACATCAAATATTTTGTCACTCCATATATATTTATTATTTTGATAGATTATACTACCTCCGTCTAGGTGAATAAGTCATTCACGTAGTTCTAGGTCATGGATTTGAGCAATTAAATATGTGTTATATGTTATGAAAAGTACATCACTAGATTTCTACAAGGATGTAGTTTCTAAATATATATTTTTTGTCACATATAATACATATTTAGATAGTTAAATCGTCAACCTAGAACTACGCGAATGACTTATTCACCGAGACGGAGGTAGTACTATTTTTTATAAACTTGGTCAAACTTCATAAAGTTTGACTTAGGTCACAGCTAATATGTGTGGTAAACAAAAATGAACAGAGTACATATTTGCATGAAGAGACATATTTCACCATGGGGCGGACATCTTTTCATTACGGGCGTGTATTTCTATGAAGAGACATCTTTTGACTATTCATAAAAGACATCTTTTCACTAAGGTGTGAGTAATTCACAAATAGACACATTTTCACTTAGGCACATGTATTTTGGAGGTGTCTTCTAAGAAAATATCATGGCTACTATTTTTTTAAGGTGACATGACTTAACATGAACGTTGCATTAGGAGTCAGTTTTACAATAGTTAGATATACGGGATTTCTCTAGGTCTTTTCCCCCTCTATTAGAGGGTAACAAAAAAATCTTTTAGCCGAACACACATAACGTGTGATGTGAACCAACGCTAGAAAGCATTATATCCCCTCTCCTCCCTCTCCTCTTCAAAGTCATCCCACTAATTAACCACATTCTCTGTGTTCACGCTCTCACTACTTCACATCTTAAAAAAAATAACTACTCCGCATCCGCTTTGAGTCCATGAAATACTCCGATCCTGCAATGCCGGTCCATGAGGCCATCAAGGTGGAAGAGGAAGACGAGGAGGGGGTTGCCATTGGCAACTTTGGTACAGCAGCCCAGGTGCGCGGCGGCCAACAGGACTGCATGGCCATCTTCAGGAACCCCGCTCCTGCCCCACAGGTTAGCAGTGCGATAATGTTTTATTTAAAATTTAAAATTTTGTGCTATATCTTTTTCAACATGTTGCTCCACGGCGATATGGATTTGCATCTCGATTGTATTCTTCTCAACATGGTATTAGTCCGGGCGACGCTAGGCGCCGGTGCGCCGGCCCAAACGGTTCGGCCGGTCCAGGCCCAGCCGTCCGATGCGCGGGCCTGGGCCGTCGGATCTGCGCGAGATCCCGTCTTCTCCAGCACCCATCGTCAACCTCCCGCGCGGGGGAAAAGGAGAAGGAAGGAGAGCGCCGCCCCCGCACGCGAGCCGCACCACTAGCCTTCCCGCGCTGCGCTTGCAACCTCTTCGCCGCCGTTCACATCCCTCATCACCGTCCGTCGTGTTCCTTGCAGCTCCTCGCCATGGCGGGTCGCCGCTTCCACATCACGCCTATGTAGCACCGGCCAACAGCGGTTGCACCTCGCCGCCCCCATGGTTGCAACACCAGGTGCGCGCCCAGGCGCCCTCGCCGACCCTCGCCGCCTGGTGCATGTCGCTCGCATCGGCGCCGTATCTCTGGTCGCCGCTTCCATCTGTCGCCATTGAAGCAAAAAAACTCACCGGTGGAAGCTTTGCAGGTTGCCGGTTGCAACAAAATCAGAGCTGCGGGGGTTGGTTGAAGCAAAATCGACAAACGCTTCCAGCAAAATTGAACACCCGTTCCAGCTTCTGTTTGGTCGGTTGTAACATTTCACGGCGTCGTCGGCGAGGGTGTCAAGAGCTCCGGTAGGCGGTTGAAGCAAAATTGAAAAACACTTCCAGCAAACATGAATGCCCGTTCCAGCTTTTGTTTTCGCCGGTTGCAACATTTTACACTTGAAAAACATCTGGTTGTAGCAAAAAAAAGTCAGGCGCCATCGCCGCCAGCGACGCTCGCCGTCGTCCTGGTTGCAACAAGATCAAGCGTCGGTGCTAGCTTCCCCAAGACCGGTTGCAGCAAAAACGCAGCATCGTTGTCGGCGGAGGAGCGGGTGGGGTGGGGGTGGGGACGGAGCACTGGGAGGCGGCGGTGGAGGCACGCAGCTTGGCCAACGGCGAACGGAGGGTGAGCTCGCGGCATTGAGGTGAAAAAGGGGAGATTGGATCGGGGGAGGAGGAAGGATGGTTACATGGGCCACAAAAAAAGGAGGCGCGGCCCACTACGCTCGCGCTGGGCGCGTGATGAGGCGTGCGACCGGCCGAAGCTTCGGCCGGTGCACCGTCTGGGAACGTTTCCCTATTAGTCCTAAGTTTTAAATTTGATTCGTTTCCTCCTCGCGCGAGTAGTTAGTTTTTATGTGTATTTACGGCATCCCGTATATGGTATGAAAACTATGGATTAGCATCACATCATAGTGCTAGTTGGTACAGTATTCGTGCCTCTTCCATAGCTAGAAGGTACTTTAAGGATGTGGTAGTCCATTTAAATCTCTAGAAAGACAAATATTTAGGAACGGAGGGAGTAGTATTTGATTTTTGGCTTATTTTCCAGACTTGTTCATACGTTATGTATGGACCTTGGTCATTGCTTTATCTTTGAAAACTTGTTTCGGAAAGATGCTTTGTTTCAGTTTGGGATTTTATCGATTATTGGAAGTACAGTAAGGTTTTTAACTGCTTATTTATTCATGGCTAGAACCATAATAGTAATTTACCGAAAAGGCTTTCGCCCCGCTTTATATTATAAAGCAATCGCCCGAATCAAGCATCCAACAAGGTTCCAAACATGCCCACACACGCACACGGAGGTCCACAGGTACACAAATAAGTCACGAGGGTTAGAGCTGAGGGTACAACACAACAAGCCCTAAACACACACAACACGGCGCACAGCGCAAAGCGCAAAGCTACC